CCAAGCTTTAGCAAACACGGCTGCCATTTTGCCCAAGATACAACATGTGTAGCTGTGAATGTAACCCAGACTTGATGAACACGAGTGAAATCATTTTCAGCAAGTTAATTCAGCTTTGGGTGCCAAACTAACGTCGCTTTGGAATTGGAATATCTTGATGATCTGGCCTACATGTGTACATGTTGCTGTTGTGTTTTTGAGGGATTCCTGCTTTGACCATGGACCTACTACTACATGTAGGTCCATGCTTTGACCCTTCGATCCCAAGGGACAGTCAAAAGTCTGAATCATCCCCCAAAATTTGAGTTGAAGGCATGTATTTTCTGTAGCCCACAAATCCATTGCTTCCAAAAAGTCAAAACCCCTTGTATTTGAAGCACTTTCACTTGATGATAATTTCAGTTCTGTTGACGATAGAATGGTAATACTTACAGAACCCAATGAATTCATCCCGGATGTTGAGAAGGTGTTTGATTGAATGCTCTTTGATAGATAGTGTCATGACTAATAATTGGTCTTGTTTAGGAGGTTATGTCGTTCTAGAATATTTGCCATTTTGCATGTGATATCTCTCTGTTTTTCTTGTAGGAAAGAAATGCCCAACTTGAGAGTAAATGTGTTCAACCAACTTTTGAGCAATTTATAAGACAACGTGGGTGATTTTCTTTTCCCATTTTAGTAGTAAAATTTAACCATAACTTGGCAAATATTACCCTAGTTGGGCATGAAACTGCCCTTAAAATAAGTATGTGGGATACTTAATTGCACCACTGTGAAGTGATTATAGGGTCTGGATGACACAAGCTAGGTGCAGTAGCCTGCTTTCACCTTATGTGACCTTACAAACTGCTGTGTAGAAGACTTTTTCTTTCTCTCTCTCTCTCTCCATCTCTTTGTTTTCTTTTGTTTCCAAATGTATGTTTTTGTTAAATAAATCTATTGGGCCTGATATAAATATGGTTCATGAGGTATGGGGAAAATTTGCAGCCCTCTTGCCAAATTTGTATCAGGGTTTTGTGATCCAATGTATGTCTTAGAAATAGAAAAAATGGATTACAACAATCCAGTCATAGATACCTCTTGATGTCATATATTATACAAAGTGGGAGAGATTTAACAAAAAAGCACTGGCATTTTCTTTAACAACATCAACACAAACTTTCACCATTGACTTGGCATTCAACTTCAAGCTGTGCTGTTTTCAAGACTGGGTTACAAGTGCAATCCAGCGTTTTCTGCTTTTCATCTCAAGAAGTTACTCTGCCAGGTGAAGTTGATCCTATGTCACTCCACCACCCCCAGACAGTCGTGGCAGTACCCTTGAACTTGAATACCAATGCCTTGGAGGGGTTTAGATCAAGTCAATGAAGATGCCTTGGGTGTGTTCAGATGGTAGAAAGAAAATGCTGCATGAGAACTTGTTATACTTGTTTGGAGGTGTAAGTTGAGTCGCCAAGATGCTCCGGGCTGGTCTGTTCAGATGGTAGAAAGAGATCATTGTATAAACATTGTAAGACTAGTAAGACACTATGGAGGGGCAAAAGTTGTTTGATGGTGTAAATAAAGTCGATGCTCCGGGCAGATCTGTCCAGGCTGAAAAGGTTGCATTTGCATATCACACACATTGTTTCGAGTGACAATGATTTGTAGATGTGTGTGTTTAGGAAATCCAAGAGTCCCTTTTCTTTTACAGTACCCTTGAATGTTTTGACCAATGCCTTAGACGGGTAGAGAACAAGTCATTGAAGATGCTCTTGGCTGGTCGTCTTTTCAGGTGGTAGAAATAAAATATCATAGGAATCATTGGTATACTTGTTTAGAGGTTTACATGTACATCGAGACAATGATAATGCTCCAGGCAGGTCTGTTCCGATAATGGAAAGAGAACGTTATATAAACATTGTAAGACTAGTAAGATACTATGGAGGGGCAAAAGTTGTTTGATGGTGTAAATAAAGTCGATGCTCGGGCAGGTCTGACCAGGTGGTTCAAAGAAAAGGTAGTATCACATCATTACGAGTGGCGAAATAAGAATCAATAATGATCCCTAGATGTGCATGTTTAGCGACCTTTTCACACACAGCTAAAATTCTATAAACATGACTAGTATAAACGTGTTTCGAACGTGTTTAAACTAATCACGAGCCTTTCACACACAGAAATTTCGGTGCGATCGTTAATAGTTTCGTGATTAACTACTGCTCGTAAAATGCGCAGTAGTGCCATTGCGCATTGAAGGTCATGTCATATCAATCAAAGCGCACGCTCCATCCAGTTTAAACACGTTTAAACACGAATTTCCTTTCACACACAAAATGTCAAGCTCTCTAGATACGAACTTCGTATCTGCAGCCTGCTTTTAGGGGCGTATGGATCGCGACTTCGTATCTATCCCAACATCGTATAAACGATGTTCACACTGGGAAATTTTGTCTATAAACATGTTTAAAACTGTTGAGTGATTCTAATCATTTCTAGATACGATGAATTTTAGCTGTGTGTGAAAAGGCTGTAGGACATCTACAGTCCCTTTTCCAGTACAGTACCCTTGAACTTGTACATCAATGCCTTAGAGGGGTAGAGATCAAGTCATTGAAGATGCTCCATGCAGGTCCGTTCAGGTGGTAGAAGGAAAATGTCATAGGAATCATTGGTTTACTTGTTTGGAGGTGTACATCGAGATGGTGATGATGCTCCAGGCTAGTCTGTTCAGATGGTAGAAAGAGACCATTGTATAAACATTGTAAGACTAGTAAGAAACGTATGGAGGGGCAAAACTTGTTTGATGATGTAAATAAAGTCGATGCTCCGGGCAGGTCTGTCCAGGTGGTTGAAAGAAAAGGTTGTATATATCACACATTGTTTTGAGTGGCAAAATAGACATTGACATTGATTCGTAGATGTGTGTGTTTAGGAAATCAAGAGTCCCTTTTCTTTTACAATACCCTTGAACTTGTACATCGATGCCTTAGAGGGATAGACATCAAGTCATTGAAGTGCTCCAGGCAGGTCTGTTGAGGTAGTAGAAAGAAAATTTCAAAGAAACCATTGGTGTACTTATTTGGAGTTGCACATCGAGACGGTGAAGATGCTTTAGGCTGGTCTGTTCGCATGGTCGGAAGAAAACATTGTATCAAATGTTTCCGCGGTAGCTATGTTTGCATTTCGTTTGACATTTCTAAAATGGGAACATGACCTTGGAAGAACCATCAGGATTACAGAATGTTGTTTTTAATAGAGCATTAAGGATTGCCTGTCTAAACCTGACCCTGCACCTGAAAACCTGTGCCAATAGTTTCTGCTTCGTCCTCCTCTTTCTTTCCCTTTCGTTCTGACATCGAGAAACGGGCACATCTATCGTTGTGCTGCTCAGGCTACATTATTTCTAGGTGTTTGTCTACATGTTGTATGTTGTTATGCCATGGGGGCTGTCAGCCAATATCAAATCTTTCCCTTTTGTTTGGGTCTGCTTCCGAGTCTAAGGTTACATTCGTGTAAACTGCTGATGTGAGTTGTACATTGACGAGAGAGCTGAAATAAATACACAGCGGAAGTTTTTTTTAGGATGACTCATTCAAAACCTTTTTTAAAAAGTTTTATGACTTCTGTCAGCTCAATAAGCAAGTGGTTCAAAGTAGTAAGTAAGTTGTAAGACAGTGTATAGGTGCGAACAAAACTTTGGTCTGGCTGGAGGCTGACAAACAGGCCTGCTTATAAAGATTGCTGATATTGTTCATGGAGGGAATACAAAAGGGTGGAAAAATAAAAGCAGTAGGAACAAAACCAGATATTAGCATATTAGAGGAAGAGAGAGAGAGAGATATGCATATATATATATAGAGAGAGAGAGAGCATTCACCATTATTTCTTTTGGATATTTCTGTATTAGCTTGTAAGTCACCCAAATTATGGCGAGAAATATGTTTTCATCAATAATTTCCTTTGGCAACCAAATGGTTCCTGTATTAAGCTTATAGGAAAGAGAGAATTCAGTAGTTGATGGGAAAAAGACTAACCAAAATGATTCTGCACATGTAGGTTTATACCAGGAAGCTTTTTGGTCCCGACTGTCCACCGTTATGGGATAGTTATACGATGAAATTGTGTGTGTGGACGCTTACTAATTAGGCGTGATTAGGTGTGATTAGTTGTATGTCATATAACGAAACGATGCAAAAACCTGCATTTCGTTATACGACGTGTAACTAATCATGCCTAATCACGCCTAATCACGGAATGTGTTGTGTGTGGACGTAACTAGTATAACTAGTCGAACTAGAATGGTATAACTGGGCGGGGCTTAACATGACCTCGCGCGAAAGGAGACCTGACCTCTCATTTCCGTTTCCATTTCATGAGCGCAGTAGCAAACTGCGCAACTATACAATGTTTCGCTGTAGAGTTTCAGGATTAATTTCTTCTGTGTGTGGACATCCTGGAATTTATACGATCATTCTTTATACAACGTTTCTTGTGTGTGGACACCCTGAAATTTATACGATGATTCTTTATACGATGTTTCGTTAAAGAGTTTCGGGATAAATTGTTTAGTGTGTGGACACGCTGTGTGTCACATTCTGATCGATGATGGATCCAGGTGAAATTATAATCCTTTAAATAAACAGTGAGGTTGAGGCTGGCACCTAGGATGTACAAATACATTTGTGCATCCAATATTGTGTTATTACCCTTGGGGGTAGCTGGCGAAAGCTGTGTGCCATAACAAACATGAAGGTATGTTTACTGTGGAAAGAACAGTGGAGTAATGTGATAATTGATAGATAGGTAAGGTAGCGAGAGATAATGGGGCCAGATGAAGTCATAGATAGAGAGAGAGAGAGAGAGGGAGAGAGAGGGGGAGAGAGAGAGAGAGAGATTAAGAGAGGAAGATGGAGAGAGAGAGAGAGAGGAAGATGGAGAGAGAGGGAGAGAGAGAGAGAGGTAGAGAGGGAGAGAGAGAAAGAGAGAGGAAGATGGAGAGAGAGGGAGAGAGAGAGAGAGGTAGAGAGGGAGATGGAGAGAGAAAGAACGAGAAGGGAAGGCATCCTAAAGACCATGGAATGATGATGGCTTTAAAATTTATGGCAGGCCATGAAGAACATAGAGAGTTAGAGAGCAAAAGGGGGAGTGAGAGAGATTTGCAGTGAGATGTGGAAAGATGGAGAGAGAGAAAGAGATGGCAATGAGATGTAGAAAAATGGAAAGAATAAGAGAGAGGCAGACAGGCAAATACAGACAGAGGGAATGAAGAACACAATCACAAATATTTAAGAAAAATAAACTCGGGGCAATTTCAATAACCCTAATGTATGTCCCATAGAAATCATGTTCGGATTACGTATTTGTCATGGTCATGTTTGAACATTTTAAAAAGATGATGCACAAGGCTATTGAAATCGTTTTAAGATGATTTTTTAAGAAGCAGTCACTATCATGGTGAAGCTAGAAATTCAGACGGGGAGAGAGAAAGAGATACATGTATAAACAAAGTGAGATAAGAATATACACAAACTGTCAGGTTGAAGTGAACATCAAAGACACACCAGACAGTTGTGTATTTTCCATGTCATCTGAAGATGTCTTGAATGTATGAAATGCTTGCAAGTTACTAATGTTCTGTTACTTTTTTTAATGGTTTTGTTCATTTGACATCGATAGGGATATGTGAGATTTTTTGAGAACTTTCTACTGGTAAGTGTGGTCTTTTGTCATTGGGATATGTATATTTGTCTCAATCATAGAGAAGTAGGAATAAACTTTGAGAGGTACAATTATACAACAGAACTCTGACTGATGTTTGACAGTCTGCTATTTATACCTGAAAAGTATGATGGAAGAAAATGATGCATCTTAAAAGTGAGCATGTGGGTTAGTGAGTGCGTGGGTGAGCTGATAAATGATTAGGTTATAGATGAGAGGGTTAAAGGTAAAGACCAGTTATGGTCATGCGATTGCATTGTGAAAGAAACATTGTGGAATCGATCAGAAAAGGTTGATCATCTAGTATCTAGCATCTGCAAGGTTCTGGAATCATCAAAATGATAAGAAATTTTGCCCTTTTTTTGTAAAGTTACAAGCACTATACACAGAAAGATGTATATGGGACTACCCTATATCTCTCACAGACCATGAGAGAAACAAATTTACCAAATATATGAATTAGTAGGCGGTTTCCCAGCAAATTTTTTATCATCATGTATTAGTCAAAACATATTCTTTCACATGATTGGTAATGAGACCTTCCATTTCATTTTTTGAAATTGGGTCGTTTCCAATACTGGTCTTTACCTTTAAAGTAAGTGGGTTAGTGAGTGGGCAACTGCAAGATGGTGAGAGAATGAATGTGTAAATGTTTGAACTGTATTGAAATCAGTACCTACCTCCATCGTTCATTCTTCATATTATGGAAATAAGTTACATGGACAATTAATAAGATTATTTGAGAAAATGATATGACAGTCATTGATCATTAAACACAGTTATCATTTAGCAATACAATTCATTATTTTTTTATTTTTATTTTCTTGAATATCTTGTTTATCAGATTAATTCTGATAAAATTCAATTCAGTTTAAAAGCTGAATTTTTGATGTGTACAGTGATAAATAATTTTCATTTATAGATATGCATGAAGCAAGCTAAATTTTGTAATTTAAGAAAATGAAACAAATCAGTAATATGTATGATTCTTATTTGGTCATCACCAAAATGTATCCATATTTTGAAACCTATTTATATTCTTTGTTAACTATGTCTGAGCCTTTATTTTACATGTGAGCAAATCAAATATCCATGTTGAACATTGGAAAAATAGATAGAGAATACATTGAATGAATGAATTAAATTAGCGAGAGGCTGAGTGAATGAGTAGGTGGGTGAGTGAGCGGGTGGGTGAAGAAGTGAGTTAATGAGTGGGTGTGTGAGTAAGGGCGCGTTCATGCTTGATTTTGAAGGCAGAATGAGCGATTTGTAACGCTCATCGTAAACGCTCATCGTAATCGCAGTTCCACGGTGCACTGTTCATGCTCACTTCTCCAGGCAATTCTCCTTGGGTGGCCATCAGCTTGGTTTCGCAAACCTGTGTGTGCATGCTACGTAGACCCACTAGAGGTCAGTGCGTTGACCCCATTTAAACGCGTTTACAAATTGTAAACGCATCTTTTTGTGAGTTTACGATCGGCGATCATGATCGCCGTTTTTCGGTGATTCTACAAAAGTGAGCATGAACGCAATCGTGTTTTAAACTAAACGCGTAACAGATGCCTGATTCTGGCCGTCAAAATCAAGCATGAACGCGCCCTAAGTGAGTGGGTGCACGAGTTGGTGCTTACCGAGTGGGTGAGTGAGTGGGTGGGTTTGGTAAAGTGGATGGGTGAATGAGTTGGTTGGTGAATGAGTGAGTGAGGGAGTGGGTAAGTGGGAGAGTGAATTAGAAGGTGGGTGAGTGAGCGGATGGGTAAAGAAGTGAGATAACAAGTAGTGTGTGAGTGAGTTGGTGGGTTAGTCAGTGGGTGAGTGAATGAGTGAGTGAGGGAGTGAGTGGTTGGGTGGGTAAGTGAGTGTATGAGGAAGGGGTGCATGACACATGAAGAAACGGAAGAGAATGCTAAGGAGTTGGTGGGTGAATGAGTGGGTTCATAGGTCAGTGAGTGGATGCGTATATGAGAGAGTGAGGGAGTGGGTTAGTGGGTAAGTGGGTTAGCAAATGAGTGAATGAGTAAGTGGGTGAGTAAGTGGGTTAGCGAATAAGTGAGCCATTTTCACATGTATGAGTCAAATCAAAAAGGAAATCTGATGTGAAGACGTGAGAAAGATTTAATCACAAGAACCATGCGTGAAACGTTGCTTTGATCCTGTTGTAAACGAAATTGTCCAGTACGCAGTGTACTTTTTCAGTGGGAAAGGGGGTAGTCACATTGGGAGGTAAACATCTTGATACAGTGTAAGACTGATTGCCCCCAGCCAGACGATGAGGCTCCTTTTACATATTTGGAGGAGCTGCATTGATTTGCCCTTCAATGCATGTACGTCTTACCCCGCGAGGTGTTGATTACGAGCAGATCTTGCCTCGTTAAATCTAACCTTCTCCAAAATGCTTGGATGTCTGGATGGTGTGAAGAATATGATGGGTATTTTCTGGAGAAGGATTCCCCCTCAGCATTGTATATACATTGTACAGTTAACAACTAAATTATCCATACCCTTACCAACTTTTTTGTAATTTTGTAGGTACCTCTGGTACGTGAAAAATTGACTTGTCCTCGTTACCGTTTCTTGAGAATGTGACATATTAAAGGCCCACTGCACTACTGGTAGCTACTTGCGCCCTCTATATAACAAACAATGCCTAATCGGTGACCATTGGTCCCCCATGATCCTCTTTTTCTTATGTTAACTGAGAGCTGAGTTGATGAGATAACCACCTGTCCAGTGACATTGTAGAGCGGTCTAATCCCTCCTGTAAACTACGGCAGATAAGCTTTAAAGCTTACATCTAACAGTATTTAATAAGTGCCCTTATTCAAACAGTTCGAAAACACAACAAAATCATCACGTTTACAAGCGGTATGGATAATTTAGCTGCACTGTATGAACTGTATGTGTTATGACAGAAAGAGACATCGGACAATAACATTTTTGCCTGCCCAAGTTTTCCTCTTCATGATTCTTGTCTTATCCTGACTTGAAATGACTTGAATGACTTTTGTTTATTTTCTTCTTTATTCATATGAATGCTTCATGATTTTGTTTCATTTTTTAGTTGTACTTGTAAGCATCCTGATGTGCTAATTTACATCATTACAATCTATTATACTTGTGTGCTCTCCTATCCTAAACACTTATTTGAAATGGATCAACATGTCATTGCTCCATCATTTGCTATCTGACATTGTCATCCTCAACTGCACCATAAGCCTGTCCTCATCAGCTCAAGTTTGCCAAATAACCTGCTATTTTCAGACTCAGGATATTATCTCAAAGTTCGAAATTGCGTTTTCACCAGACCGATACGCTCATCACAAAATAGGTTGGACGGGCGTAAATTAGCCCGCTATTTCTCAAAAATCAGGATATTTTGGAAACAAGACCAACATTTCTCTGGATATTTTCTCGACCAAATAGCCCGCTATTTGCAACTGCGGGCTAATGAAAACGCAAATTAATTGGCTAATTTGAGATCGGGCTAGTAAAGATAGCGGGTTATTTGGCAAACTCGAGCCAATGAGGACAGGCCTCATGTTACATCACTGTACTGAGCAAGTCATGCCTTATTCCCAAAACAAATACGAAGTTCATTACACAAGACAGCTCTAATTTCTGACAGCGCGTACAACCCCTTGCTCGTGCCTAATTGGAAGAGTCGGGAGACGTGTAGAATCTAGTATTTGTGCGTCAGCAGCGCGCATGTAATTCCTCAAGCAATCAGTGTTTGTTCGACAAATACACCCATGCAAGGGACCCAGTTTTGTTTTTCAAAATGAATTTTGGTTTGCAGGGGATATCTGAATGCAGAGAGAGAATGTTCTGCAAGGTTATTGTTCACATGAAATTGATTTTCGGATTGGGGAATTTAAGTTATATTTTTTTCTTCTAATTAACACCGGCATTTGAGGTGACATTGATAAAGATCACTGTACATATTTACTCTTTGTTGTGCGTATTGATTGAAGGAATTCTATTTCTATATACCGTAAGCCATGAGATGTAAAAGCAAAAAATGTATTTTGGGTTCAGTGTGCCTGCATCTAGAGAATACAATTTGAGAAATTAAAAAGATGGTCAAGGAGTGCTAGTAAACATAAACCAAATCATCTTATTTTTTATCCTACTTATAGTTTTATATTTAAGTTGTTTGGCTTTTATTGTTATTATCATCTTTAAAAAAAAAATTACATGTACTTCATTGTTTGATATATGTTATTTTTCATTACAAAATTGCATATAGGAATCCTTTCCTTGATTCTGTATTGTTTTTATTTCAATAGCTGTCATAGTTGGCATCTTGTATTTTAATTTGGAAGGATTGATGAATTTGAATGGAAGAGAAAAACAACAAAGTTTCAGTCAAAAGACACATTGGTATAACAGTTATCATTTAGAAAACTAATTTCTGGAAGTTTCCTTTCGATAGGTTTTGAAGTGGGGATAGAAAATCCAGGAAAACCATTAAGAGTTGCATGAATATTCCTAAATTTAAGGTGAAAATGTCCAAACTCCCAGATTGCTCGTGCTACTTATAATGGTTTTCCAAGAAAAAACATCATAGCAGTCTCCAGGAGGAGGCCAACGCATGCAAAGAGATCATTAATGAATACACATGCATGCGTATCAAGGACTCTACCCGCTCTTTATTTGGTTTCCAATGAAATTCTGCTGTTTATTCTATTCAACACCAATTTACAAAAATCATCAGAGCCAGAAGGTTGTTAACTCTGAGTTTCAGTACATGAGTTAACGCCCTTCTGGCCGGGAACAGACCAAATGCTGAAGATTGATGCAGGAACTCTCTGCTATGTACATCTTCCAGGAAGCTAAAACTTCTTAAAGATGCAAAAATCTGTTGTGTGTAGGAGGCATATATCCACTGGTACTGTCCTTTGCAGGCAGGTGGGTATTCCCTGATGAATACTATAAGGAGATCAAAGTGGTAGTGTGATGAATACAGATGAGACTCTCAACCATGTCAGGGACCCTTCTCCAATTCAAATAATTGCCTTATAAAGTATAATTTCCAACAATATGTATATATTTGATACACATTGTAACTCCATGCAACTAACCAATGTAATCATATATATTTCACAGATTTGTAACAAGTATTCATTGTTTTTTTTCTGATTGGGAAGGTTGGAAATTTAGAATGATTGAAGGGGTTATTTTCTGTGTCATCGCTCTTCTTTCTCCTCCTGGGCAAAGTGGAAGTTTTGGAAAATATAGCACTTTAGAAATGAAAAGTTGTGGTGTGAAAAGCTTTTTACCAAGGAAATCAGTTTATTGCTTTAAAGAAGTCACAAGTTAAATTTCAATTGATTGATCAAAACTTCAGATTTGAAGAAGCACAATTTTGTCTCATTGACTTATTCTTATTTGAGAAAAAGATATCTGAAGAAACTCTTTATTATTCAAAGAAGTCAGAAGTTAAATTTCAAGAGATTGAACCAAACTTGAGACATTTGAAGAATTACTATTTTGTCACATTGACTTATTCTTATTTGATATATAATATCTGAAGAAACACTTTACTAACATGTTCAGGATTTTCATCCCTTCAAGTTCAACAACAACAACATCACGAAAAAGCAAACAAACAACAACGACAAGTAAAATGCTTTTCAGGTGCTTTTTATTATGTTTAATGTATCATACAGACGGGACTAATATTTTAATGTGCACCCCTTCTTCACTCATATTAAATTATCTACTCCAAAATTCTGTTTTGTTGTGTTAGACTTGATTATTCCTATGATGAATCCCATCAATACTTAATACTTAAAAAT